ATCCAAATTTAAGAATCTATAGAAAATCATAATTACGTATACATAAATTACGCAATTAATCAATAAAAAACTATTATATATTTTGTTGTTTATTTACTTATTATATATATCGATATCAATTTATTTCTTTCAACATACAATTCTAATGGCTGACACTCAAGAGACAAAACTAAAATATCGCCGTGGAACTTGTTTTAGCTGTCGTAAATGTTTATATTGTGGAATTAATTTGCAACAGCAAAGATGCAATTGCAACTTATCAGAGGTGTCACACAGAGATAATCAAACTGAAGCTGTCAAATATGCATTTACACGAGTATTTAAGCCAAACTGGATAAAAGAGCAAGTGGAATATATTCATCAAAAAATAGCACTTTACAATTACTTTTTAAGTTCAAAAGAAACTTTTAATTTCTCTTTATGTTTTCAATGTAATAGTACATTATTAAGATTATCTTCAAAGGCAAAAAACTTAAGGTGATATCAATCTTTGCAGTCTCTGCAGCCTCTACAGCCCTTACAGTTACAAATACAGCAGTTTTTCAAAAATTGAATCATATGATCTTACTATTTCTGAAGATGAACCTAACAAATTTGAAGAAAGAGATGAATGGGAGTTTACTAAAAAGATTATAATAGAAATAATGAACATAATAATGATGAGTTTTTATTTGATGAAGATAGTGAAGATGAATATAATTATGGAATTGTTATTAAGTTAGCAAATGGTACAACTATTCCTGCTAAATAGTATATATCCAAGATGTTTACAATTGATGAATTGCTTTCAGAACTTTATATAAATATTGAAACTTTAACAAAAAGAAGACTGATTAAATTAGACAATTATTATATTATATTTAAATCTGAAAAGACAATAGAAGCAGATATTCAGTTAGTAAATAATCATGACTTCAAAAAGTTTCAAGCAGATTACTAGAAATATATTTCTAAAAATATTAATATAGTTTTTTTTATAATATTTATTAATATAATTATGATCTTTTTTTTGTTAGTATATAATATATAAATGATAATAATAATAATAATATATTTATATTTACATAATTAGAATCG